CCCTGTTCTCTCACTTTGAGGAAACGGCACATGAAACACTTACAGTGAGAGAAGTTTGGGTTTCCTTCAGCGTTTTCTGCAGATCCTCCAGTTCAGTCTGCTGGATCCTCTTCATTTCTGAAACAAACAAACAAACACTGTTTAGTTTCTGGCACTAAAAACTTTCAGGTGGATAAAGTTTGATTCGGTGACCTGCTGAGGACTCAGCTCTCACACACATACCCTGTATGGAGGTCTCATACTCCTGTTTGATCGCCTCCATCTTCTGGCTGTGGCTCTCTTCTTGCCTCTTCCTTTCTGCTTCCTGTTGGCTCCTCAGCTCCTCCACCTGGACAACAAAAAACACGATACGGTTTATGGAGTGAAACCTGTTCCATTATTGTTTCAAGCAAAGAACACATTTTGTAAATTGAAATTAGAAGGAATGCAATCCGAAAATGAAACTGAAATAAGTTCTAATGAAAAAAAAAAAAATTTATTTACACTTTCTGATTTCCTTTTTCACATTTTAATAGGTTGTATAGATTGTATCTTTTATTTTTTTCCATTTTTTAGATGGAATTTAATTTAATAATTTTCATCTTCATATAGAGGGAATTTAAAAGGTTTTTTTTAGTGTTACTGATAATTAGAAAACTTTGAATCAATTTGACTGTATGATCTGGTGAACTGTAATGAACTGAATTTAATTACTTTCTCAGTTTTTGTTCTTTATAATTTAAAAAAAAATCAGAGAAAAAGGAAAGCTACTCCCAATACCCTTTTGGAATTAAATCTTTTTCCAAATTTTATTACTTTTTTTTTTTCAAATTTTCTGTATTTTTTTTGTTTTTTGTTTGCTTGCAACAATAATGGAACAAAATTCCCTCCATGCATGGTTAGATTCCCTCAGGCTCAGTCAGTGAAAGCCTTTTTTTTTTCTATCCAGCTGCAGGTTAATCCATCACATCCCAGGCCAGGTTGTGTTGTTTCTGCTGTAAATTTAACTGTAATCATCTGTTGAGGAGACCAGATTTATGGGATGGCTCTCTGCCTAGGACGGTTTTATAGCACAGACGTGAGTCTGCTTGCTCTGCCCTCGCCGTGTGCGTTCGCTCACCTGCTGCTCCATCAACAGGCGGCATTTATCGGCCTCCTGCTGGTACAGCTGGTGAACTTTATCCCACTCTGCTTGGTAGAAGCATTTCAGCCTGAAACACACAGGAAAACATCAGGGTTAGGATACTTCTGGTACATCTTAGCTTCATTCATCCATTTCTGCAGCTTTTGCACTTTGTAATGTTTTATTTCCTTTTTTTTTATATATTTTTATTCTAGTTCCTATTAGGGGGAAGTCAGTACATCAGCTGCACTCTACTACCCTGGATTTTCTAGGATAATATTCAATTTAATGCAGTTTATTTTAAGTTTATTAAGTGTCAATTCACAACATGTCATCTCAAGGCTCTTCACACTTCAATCAGATCATCCAGTCAGATTAAAGGTTCAAAGTTTTCTATCCAAGGAAAACCAGCAGATTGCCTCCAGTCACTGACTTTGCACTAATGGCTCCTCCTGGATGAGCACTTAGACATTTGCTTGAAGCATGTAGCGACAATGGAGAGGAAAAACTTCCTTTTAACAGGAAGAAAACTCTAGCTCGGTGTGAGCAGCCTTCTGCTGAGGCTGACTGGGGTTCAAATAGAGAGAAAGAGTCACACACAAAAAAAAGCCAAAGCACTGATCTATTAATACTTTCTAGGTTAGAAAAGCTAACTGTAAACTAGATTCACACGTTGCTTTGTCTGGGAAAGAAACAGGACTAAACTCTGGGAAAAAAAGTCCCAACTCCATCTTCTACACTCCAAGGTGATGAGCTGATGTTTCTCTGCAGGATGGAGTCACAGCCGAACACCAACCGATTGATGTCAGATATATATATTTAACCCAGTCTTCCTTCAGCTGCATGGAGGATGGCCATCTAAGGGGTCATAGGTCAGCAGCTTCATGAATTTCTGCTCCATAGAGGAAGAAAAATGCTAATCTTTCACAATCTGCCATCAGTTCCAGGATTTTCTGAGATTTGTCTGAAGTATAGTTAGACCGATATGTCGGCCGATATGTGTACGCTTACGTCGATTCATTACTGAATCCAGCAGCCCTTCAACATCCATCTATGTTAATGTATTCTAATGTTAATGTTTTCTTTTATTTGTTAATAAATATTGCTATTTATTTTAAATTTAGATAAACGTAGCATTTGGTATCGTTTTGTATTTTTTATGACATAATGGAGGAAGAAAAAGTAAAATTGGCCTAAAAATTGTTTCACACTGATTTTGAAATAATCTGCCTAGACCTCAGCCTGAAGAAAACAACAACTTATCAGTCAATCTGAACATGTTTGATCCTCAGAGACCCAGTTAATTGTTCTGCTTTTAGACCATTTCTGCTTCACTATTGGCACCAAAGTGTCTTTTTATTTGGTAAAACGAAATAAAGGCAACACAAAGGATTAAATACATCTAGGATTTTCCACCAGCGTCTCACCTGTTCTCCAGCTGAACCAGCTCCTCCTCATGCTGCTCCTCCAACCTTTTCAAGGCTGCCTCCAAGTTTGTCCGCACCTCCTCCTTCTCGGCCTGCAGACTCTGGCAGCATTGCGATGATGAAACTGGAGAGGAAAGAAGCGTTTGTCACAATGCTGTAAACTTTCTCGGAAATAAAATTTCCCCAGGTTTTTTTTCTTATTTGCTGGGGATTAAAAAGAAAAGCTCACATTCCAGTTAAATTATTCCTGCAATGAGCTCCTCATCCAACCCAGAAACATCTGTAAGTCAGCTCTGAGGTATGCAGCGTCCCTCTAAGAGGTGCAAGCACATGCAGGCCTCCTCTGTCTCCACCCAGCATCGCGCCCAGCTCTCACATATTTCAAACTGCTAGATATTTGGGGCGATTTTTGTGCACCTGAGGATCAGATCCACACGCCAGCGGGAATGTTAGCTCAACTTTTCCTCCAGATTAACTCTGCAACAGCTGGCTGCTGCAGAGGCAGTTGCTGTTTGCAGTGAATGGAGCCCTTTACAGCGCCTGTCGCTGCACTGATGGAGACATGAAGCAGCTGACAGCCGCTCCGACACGCATCCTTATTCAGGGTCGGACGGCAGGTGGAGGTTCTGATGGAGTGAAACTTTCCTGACGAGTCTCTCAACTGAAAGTGGGTTTTCACTGTTGCATGTAAACGGCTCCTCAGAGAAACCCTGAAGAGTCGTTTTCACAGAGGGAAGCAGAACAAAGTTAGCCTGAGCTGTGAGACCATCAAAGAATCAAACAGGAGTTTGTTTCTGCTCAGCTGGACTTTCACACTGTTCAGCGACAGCTGAGTGTTTGTTCACTACAGGCCCCACACATTCCTTCTGACCAGGATGGCGACGCTCAGAGGGGAAGCGGGAAGACCGAAGCCAGGGTCTCTGCTACTATATGGAGCTAATTTTATTCCATTATTGTTGCAAATATGTTTTTTGTAAGTGGAGATTAAAAAAAAAAAAATACAATCCAAAAATTAAACTTTGAAAAAAAAGTTTTGACAGAAACTCTGTTTTAACAGATTTACTTATTATTATTATTATTTTAATCAACTATAGTTTTCCTATTTTTTCTTTTTTGCAAAATAGTATTTTTTTCATATTTCTTTTTTACAGGTTTAATATTTACATTAGTTTACAGATTAAGTTTTAAATTTTTTTTATTCTCTTCACATCTGGGGCAGCTTTCTTCTGGAGTCGGGAGAAAGATTCATTTTTATTGGTTTGGATGGAGGTTAGCGAGAACATTTTTATAAGTGTTGGTTTTGGGTTTGACGTACAGAGAGATGCCATTTGAAAAGAATGCAATTTGCAACTTAATCTAAAAAATGGAATAAAAAAAAATATAAAAGAAACTCTTTAATAAAGTAAAGAAAAACAGAAAAAAACAACTAAGCAATAAAGCAAACTTTTTTTCACTTCGGTATTGCATATCTTTCTTCCAAATTTCAGTTAAAAATATATGTTAAACCCTTAGATCTTCAGAATTTCCTGTAGTTTTTGGAATTATCCCAATCCCACGTTCCACAAACCCTCTAAAAGGAGCTTTTTTATGTGTTTTTTTCTCCTCCACTCGCTTCTCAAGTTGATCCATCACCTGCACTGCAAAAAGTGTCCATCTGACCACGTCTTACAATCTTACAGCTAGACAAAAAAATGCATATTTTCCAGCTTGCTTAATCAATAGTAATATAATTGCACTTGGATTATCTCCCCAATATCAGGAGCTCCTTGGTTAGCTGGACATCTTTTCACACCTGGACAGCGTGTGGTTCAAGAGAGACATGTTATGACAACGATCATCTTCTGCAGAGAAGGTGTTGGTTGTTGCTGGATTGGAGCTGGCTGAAAAAAGCAGTCGAGTAAAAAAGGAAGTAAGAACCAGTGGAAGAAAAGGAACTTGGGTGAGGACTTCAGGGTCGCAGGTCCAGGACCAGAACACTGTGGAACCATCTTTGATTTCCATACGACATTCAGACCAACACTCAAAGCAAAATGAGAACAGTAATGTAGATAATAGGATCAACCAGGAGGTTTTGTTCCACCCCCCTTTACTCTTATAGCCCTAAATCAAGCCCACTGAGGCCAGTTGGTTGGAATATTTAGCACCATTAAGACCAAGGTCAGGCAGGAAGTTCTGGTTCGGTCGCCATGAGCTCTGACCAATCGGAATGTGGAGCCAGGATGGAGCACCTGCTGACATGGAGGTTCACCTGGACACCATCCCCTTTGTCAGACACGGTGGTGGCACCACCTTGCTGCGGGACAGGGATGTTAGGAGCTGAATCCTGGAGGAAACACTCTGCGCGGGCGGAGGGTCGGTCTGCCAAATAAAATCCTTCAGAACTGAGTAAAATCTTTTTTTGTTTTTGTAGAAACATCCGAGTCGGTGCTGCTGCTGTATTGACATAAAACACGGACCTGGTTATAAAAGGCGGCAAAGCAGGTTCCAGTGAAGTCAGCTGACTGGGTCAAAAAAGTTTCTGGCTCTGGAAGCATGTAAAAGGTTGCTGCTGTTAGAACAGCTCATCTGGTCCTGGTTTTGGAAAGCAGAAGAAGTTCTTGAACCCGGTTTGTTGAAAGTTCAAGACGAGACATCGGTTGAGAAAGGTCCGCTTTTATTTGGACCGTTTGTCGTTTCTATGATTCAGAAGGGGGTCGACGATGAGATCTAGATTTATGCACTGGAGGAAAATAAGCTTCTTGTTCATTAGGACTTTTATTGACCAACATTCATTGTTGTTTGTTCTGTTAGTATGGAGGGAATGTAGCATCATTATTGTAGCAATGAAGAAAGATTTTGAAAAATTAAACCCCCAAAAAACTAATTTCTCTCTCTCACCTGATTTAAACTTCAAGTTAAAAACTTTATTACAAGTTGCTACTTTATATCTAATCATCAGTTTAGCTACTCTGCAAAAACAAACAGCTTCTAAAAACTATCTTAGTGAAGTATTTATCTGCTTTATAAAACAAGTGAAATTATCTTGAGTTCTGAACTCAAATCCCACTGATCAGAACCTCCACCTGGGCTCTTTGGATCAGATCTTTTTGCTCTGATCCATCAGGGTTCTTTCTCAATGTGAAGTCTTGTTGCACTGATGAGTTTTCACTCATGTGTAAAAGTGTTTAAATCCTTCATTGACGCTGCTGACATTCGTGTCATCATGAACTCATAAAGCCGCAGACGACTGCTCTGTTTGCAGGTCACGGCCTGCGTGCAGCAGCTGCAACACGAGCCATTATCAGCCTGCTATAAACAGCCGTTGTCCTGCATGCAAATAGAGGGTTGGCCGGGGATTGTGCAGCAGTGTGCACACAAGTAGGAAAGGCTCTTACCCAGCTCCTCTCTGAGCTTGGACAGCTCCGACGACAGCTCCTTCTTTTGCTTTAAGGTTTCCTCTCTCTGCAGAGAGAACAACAAAAGAGATTCTGTAAGATTTGGATCACAGAATAAATAAATAAAGCAGGAGAGCCTCTTTGAATGGTTGCATCTAACCTGCAGAAAAAAAGTGCTAAAACTTTATTAACCCTTTTTATTAGCTTAAAGGATGGGCTGAACACTAATGCTTTAGTGATAAATCATAATTATTCAGAATACTGTCGAAAAACCCGTTTAAAAAATCTTTTTATATTATATACCTGTTTATACAACTAATTTACCCGTCGTCTCAAAGCACAGAGACAATTCAATCAGACATCAATAAGCAAGCAGACCATCCAGACAGATTGGTTCAAAGTTTCCTATCCAATTATTCCCTGTTGTTTACACCCAGTTATTGACTTTGCAGGTCAATGGACGCTACAAAAATTAAAATACAGGTCATTTTTTTCTTAAAATAAGTAAGTTTTCCATTAGGACAAGATGATTTTTGCTTAATAATTTATGTTTAATAGGACAAAAATAGTGCATAATAGTGCACTGAAGTTTTGTCCTACTAAGTGAATAATATCTAATGGGCAAAAATGCTAATTTCATTGGCAGACCATCTTATTTATCTGCTCAAAGGAAAAAAAAAAAGGACAAATACACTTACGCTAAGCATTTGACCTATTTTTAGATTAGTTCTGCAGTGTAAAACTAAAAAATACTAAGGAGTATAAATTTTATACTTTTATACTATAAAACCTATCCTCTTCACTTAGATTAACTCTATAACTTTCCTTTATTGGCCCTAATTAATTTTAGTTCATAATAGAAATCTTACCTTAAGGGATTTTAATGCAGCCATCTTTGCTAAATTTACAATTCAAATGTTACCCAATTTAGCTTATTTTAGCATGGTTAGCTTAGCCTGCATTATCTTATATCAATTAGGTATCAGCTAAGAGTAGCTTAGCCAAAATGTAGCTTATCTTGGCTCTATTATTTCATATTTATGTATTTTTTCAAATGTTAATAAGTCCTGAAGCTTTTCTTAGCTTATGTTAGCTTGTTTTAGCTGACATTATTGTTATATTTTAAAGCTTAGCTCAGGCTAACAACTTAAACCTGCATTGAGTCATCTAGCTTTAGCTTGAGCTAGCTTGCTTCTTTTAGAACAAAATAGAATAGAAAATCCCTTTATTGTCCCACAATGAGGAAATTCTGGTGTTTACAGCAGCAAAAAGATAGAGAAAAAAAATGGTCACACAAATATGACCCTTAGAAAAATGTATAAGAATAACATAATAGTGAAGAGTTAAAATATAAACTATAAAATACTGTACTGTAAAGTGTTTTAACAATATAAATACTGTGCACCGGGAAAATAAATAACCAATATACAACTATGGACATTTTTACAGTAATGGATATTTGAAAATAGCAGCAATATCAGGGATGTGTAAAATGACAGCAGCATGTTATTTAACTGACGAAGAAAGAAACTGTGCAGAATCTGCCATTTTTGCACATTTCTGATGTCATTTTTGCACACCATAGAATGATTTTAATTTCTGATTATTTTTATTTCTTTAACTTTTAGCTTAGTCATCTTATATCAACTTTGTTCAAACATAAAACATTTAATAAAATGTAATCAAGATGAAAAAATGTGTTCGTTTTTCAGTATCTGGGGATTTTAGTGAGCCAGCCAGCATCTCATAATAACCCATTTATGGAAATAATATCAGGGCATTTAATCTAAGTGTAGTTTATTTTAATCAATATTTTATATTTGATTTGTTTTTTCTTAAAGAATCCAGAATAAATCTGTCAAATTAAAAAGTGAGCTGCTAGGTTGATCCAAACAGACTTGATGAAACATGTCTGGATGTTCTCTGAGGTCCTTACAGCTCAAAACAATTAGAGTCCGACAGGTTAATAAGTGTTTCCACAGCAGAGCTGGTGCCATGTCTGAATCTACAGTCTCTGTTGACACAACACGTCCACGCTGTGGACCCGGCCCATCAGGACTCTTTCTGCTGCAGGGGTTTCCTCCTACTGCAGTCAGAGACTCTTAAAAGTCATCTCAGCCACTTTTTGTTTGAAGGAGGAAGGGATGCATTTTTCTTTTTGTTTCTTTCTCAGGGTGAATCATTTCTTTTTGACTTCCTAAACAAACACAGCTAAAAATGGGACGTTAATGACTTTTAGTGACGCCTCGGCACAGGAGGAAACCTTCTGTTGGCCTTTAACCATCCCACACAACTCTTGAAACACTGGTAAACACTCGGAACAGAATAATACGATCCTGACATCTGCAAGAGGAAGCATCACAACAGCCGCAGGAGCGAAATGTATCCACAAGAAGAGCTGCTTTGTTTTTCCAAACTACAGTAAAGTTCTGGTTGTAGCTGGATGTTGGAGACCAAACAAAGATAAGATCAGAGATAATGTTAGATAAAAGAGTAGGAACTCCTGATACATCAGGGTCCTTTATGATCCCGACCAAGAAACAGCCTCAAATGGAAACATGAGTTTAACAGCTGGAGATCTGAACAGATGCATCAGATACATTCCTTCCCAATCCTCTGGCTTTTCCATGAAAACAAAGAGCAGAACCAGACCAACCTTCCGCTTCTTCCTGCGCCGCTGCTGGGAGGTCTTAGTGGTCTGCAGCTGGGATTTACTCTCCGTGGAGCCCATGTTACAGAGACACACACCAAACAGCTGCTCTCATTCCTCTGTTCTCTGGAACTAAAGAGCGTCCCGTGCCTCTGAGCTGCTCCTCCCCCTCTGTACCTGTTCCTCCTCCTGCTGCTGCAGGGATCCACTACTGGATGTAGGAATGCCAGTTATTCCCGCTCCGCCTTCCTTTACTCTAACCTCCCCCCTTCCATCAGTTAAACCAGTGGATCCGCATTGAATTCATTCCTTTCTCGCCTTTCGTCTATTCTAATTGTTTGCAATAATTTCTGTCAAACCTGTAAGGTGACAATTGGAAGGATGAAAACTGGAAGACATGTTGGTGACAATCTAATGGTTAAAAGGCTCTCTGTCTCTGAGGTTTGGGTGATGGATTGAGGAGAAACTCAGGTTAAAAAGCTTCCTGTTGATCTAAAATGATTCAGAACCATAAGGTCCGTCATCCACCTTCTCACCTTTTATTCCAGCTTTCATTGTCCTTACACAACAACACGTACAGAGCAACAAATTTAACTCTGCATTTAACCCATCCCTTTGGGGAGCAGTGGGCTGCCACTGTGTGGTGCCCAGGGAGCAGTATGGGGTTAACCCTCAGTGAAATACTTAATAATCCAAATTTCAATCCAATAGTGTTATTGGAATCCAGGACAAGACCTTACTACCTTTGTAACATTAAAAAAATATGGACATTTTGATGCAAACAATGAATGTCAATATAATAACAAAAACGCCAACTTGCCCAAATATATCAAGAAAAATAACAAAAGTGCTTCTTTAAGAATTTCATGAAAAACACTCAGAGAGAAAGAAACACCTTTTTTTTTATACAACATAACCTTAGAGGCATTAATGCTGATACTGGCTCTTACATTTTTTAGTTTAAAAATCTAAATATAATTGTTAACTAGGCTTATTAACTTTTTTTAGCTTTTTTAAATTTTGGCGTAACTTGTTAACTTTTTTTTTTCCCCCCAACTTAATTTACAGTAAATAAAATATCATTCAAGGGCTCATCTAATTGGTCACTGCGAGTGATCAAAGATTTAACTTTCCCTATAAAGGGTTTAGGGTCTTGCTCAGGGACCCAGAGTGGCAGTCTGTGGGAGTGGGGCTTGAACTCAGAACCTCAGGATTCTAAGCGTGATTCCTCTACCATTTCACCAACATCAATGGACCTCAGACTAGAAGATTAGATTCAGGAGATTCTAGAGTTTTATAAGTAGTCGCATCATCAGCTACCAGAGATTTATTTGGATGTTCATCTGACCAAGGAGGAAAAAATTGAAGTCTTTCTTCTGCAACCTAAAACAGGAAAGTCAGGTTTGGTTGATCTTGGCGGTCAGGTCCAAGATGACGCAGGTTCAAGTTAAACCCAGACTTCCTGCTTCCCATTGATGCCCCCTTGTAATGTTCTAGATGGATCTATGGCTCCTAAAGTGAGTTCTGAATCTGACCCAGGGTCTGCTCCCATCAGCAGGGGTCCTGCATCAATGTGGAGAATCAGCAGCTGATCTAAACTCCACCTCACCTCATGACCAATAAAGGTTGGAATCTAGATGGACCAGTTCAGCTTCTCCATCCCCAAAAAGCAGAGAAACCCCAAATCACTTTATCCATCTTCAAATTCCTTAGATCACACATTCCTCATCATAATATAAAACATCAGCTTCATTTCATTTCTCCTAATTTCTGGCCTCATGTTTTGTACTTGATCAGCTGATCAGGACAAAACTGCGGCTATTTAGGAGGACAGTGAGGCTCAGCTAAAAGAAGATCCTATTTTCATTTAATCGCTCTAACAATAAAACCTTCTCAGTAAAATCAAAAGCAGCATCTATCCTGTTAGACGTGGAGCAAACAGCCTTGTTGAAGACGTGCAGAACAGACCGACAACACAAGATAGGTTCTTTAGGAGAAATTATCTGATAGTTTTTGTTTTAAAACTTGCTCTGTTAAAGGCAGCATTTCTGTTCTATCTACAACATGTTGACAAAGTGGGTGTTTAACAAAAACCTTTAAGCTTAAACCTACTGGGCAAGAAAACGTCAATAAAAAAAAGGAGAGGTGTCTGAATTTGAAGATGCAAGTCAGAAAACATGAATAAATGTAAGATGTATTTGTTCCTATTTTGCATTTCTGCTGTGGCTTAAGTGGTCCTTAAAGATTTAAGGTGTTCAGATTAATCTTTGCTGAAACGTTGTTAATTAAATTAATGGTCAACTGATTGTGAACATCCTTTAGGTGTTTTCCCGTAACAAAGGAGGATGAGGAGTGTAAGAGCTTTATCAGAGGTTGTTGATTTGTACTCATAAATTCATAATTTTAACTCACAAAATTGTAAAATGCACCTGTAAATTTGTAACATGTGATCGAAACATTGTGATTTCAATCTATAACTGTAATTTGAACTCATAAAATTGTAATACGAACTGTAAATTTGCAATTTAAACACAAAATTGTAATTTGAACTTGTAAATTTGTAATTTTAATGTGTACATGTGTGATCTTCACTCTGAAATTTTATTTAAGCTCATAAATTTGTGATTTGGATAAATCTAACTTTGTAATTTGCATTCAAAACTCGTAATAAAACATCTAATGTCATATGTACATATTTATTAGAAATTAAGGAACAAACACTAATCTTAAACCTATTCTCTTACATTTTTAAACCCAGACACCTCTGACTATGTATCATTGACAGCTATCTTACCCATAAAATCCCTTTGAAAACATTAACCTCACGTTTAACACCAGCAGCGTAACAAAACAAGTCTTTGGACTGAAACTGACTTCTAGGTTTAGATTTCCCTGAACTGAGGATTAATCTGCTTCAAGGCAGCATACAAACAAGACGCCCCCCCCCACAAGCATGAAGCAGATTAGATAAGACTATATGCTAAAGATAAAAACACACTGCTGCATTCCTGACGTCTGCATGGCTCCTTCTGCAGCCTCACTTTGAGCAGCTGGAACGTCAGAGCGGCTCCAGCTCCATCGGCTCCAGAAAAAAGCAGCAGGATTTTGAAGGTTATCCCAACAAACAGGAATTTTAATTAGCTTTCAGTTATATAACAACGACCATTATAAACTACGCATGACGAGTCATAAAAGCTCAGATAATTATCAACTTTCACTGCTACACCTGGGGATATCGTCCGGACTGTTTATTATGTTCTGAGATCCTGATGACTCACTGACAGGTAGCATGTGCTAAAGTTCTGCTCTGAGAACAAATATTTACTGAAGAGATTCTAAATGCAGGACCTGAGGACCGACATCCTGCTCCTCCCAGCCAATCATCAGCCTCCAGCAGGAGACCAGCCGATCAGAGATGTTTTCCACACATCAGGTCAGCAACAGACTAATGATAGGGTTGAGGATCTGGAGCTTAGAGGGCCCTGCAGGTGATGGGGAGGGGAACTGTCCATTTTTGAGACTCCTCCTGACCTTCTGCCACCAGGTAAACTGCCTCAGCCTGTTAGAATATATCATATTTATACATTTAGATTTAATTAATCCATTCACTGATTTTTACACTATTTTATTCATTTTTTGACATTCAGGGTCCAGATGTGTTTAGGTTCAATGCAAAGCAATCAGCAGTCGGTCATTTGATCATTATTTCACTGAAAGGTCTATAAGCTTTTATTGGATTTAAGGGAGTTCTAATTATTTCTTACAAAAACTAGAAATTAAATAGGTCAGTTTCTCTGAAATTTTGTAAATTTTGGCTTGATTTAAGAGTATAAGTAAGACTATTTGCAAATCTAATAACATGATTTATATCTAAGATAAGAAAATACAATTCTAATATTTTATTTAAAGTAGGGATGCACGATATAATCGGCCCCCTATCGGTATCGGCCTTAAAACTGAATATCGGACCTCAGCCACCCAACCGATATTTAACCCGATATTTGATCAGCTTCTGAGTTTCTAAAGTTTAAAAAAAAAAAAATACTACTACTTCTTCCTGAAAAAATTATTTTTTACAGACTTAAAAACTTCTAAAGACGAGGGAAAAAATA